TCTCATTATGGGGACCGCTTGAGCGTGCGATTCAAAACGCTTTCGCTTCCCACAAAAAACAGCAACAACAACAAAACAAATAGCAGAAAAAATCAACAGTAAAAATCTTAAAAAATAGTAGCAAAAATATTTAACGCTTGAAGCTTACACAAAAAAATGTTCAAGCAATAATCGTACGTGTGTGTGTATTTTGCTCAATAAACAAATCATTTGATTTCAATCGGTTTCAGGTTTCTGCGCCCATTATTACCTATTTTATATTTATTTTTATTTTTTTCATTATCACATTTTGCCACAACCGACGACTTCCGTGTGTCTGGCAGTAGTGCCTCCATAATGGGGCTTCTTTAGGGGCTGTAATTGCGATATAGCACTCGGAGTGATCTGTGTGTGGGCCAAAGTACATTGCCAAGAATGTGTATATTCAAACATATAAATTGAAATGCGAATAACTTGGTGATCTTCCCTCAATGTCGTGCTCCCACGACCTTTTTTTTAGTGTTTTCATAATATAAAAACAAAAAAGACTCAAAATAATCACCGAAATAGGAGAAGAAACCAGTTGCTGTCTGTGTTGATTCAAATTGATGTCTTTGTGCATCGGAACTGTTGCAAACTGTTTTCTTGTTATTTATTATCCTATACTGCAGTTATAAATTATTCATTTTAGCTTTGGTTGCACAGAGAGAAAATATATAATAGGGAACAGTAGAAAAATCTTAGTTTAAAAGGTTCGAATTTATTTTCTAGAGCTACAAGTTCAATATCTTTTAGCTGGTCTGGTCACACTTGTTTCCAGGATCAAGGATCAAGACCAAACATGCCTAAAATGTGTGTCACGCTGTTTTATATTTATATAATTATTTTTTTTAAGTTCTACTTGAAATCCTATCAATAAAATGCCTTAACAAAAATAAATTTATCCATTTATCCATTTAAAAATCTATAAAAATAACTATTATTTCCTGTTCAACTTTTCTTTTGATAAAGCTTTCAATATTTATTAGTGACAAATTCCCAGCTCCTTTCGATTTCCTATCTATATCTTTCCTATTCCTATCTATCTTTCCTATAGTTCCTATTTAATTTTCTTAGTAAACTTAATTTTCAGTTATTAAAAATCTGAATTTATTTATTTTAACACTTGCTAATAACCAGGTTAATATGTCAGTCAAGAAATGCCAAATTGATTGCCAATTTTGGTGGAATTTAGGGGCGGAACAAAAATAAAGAAAAAACCACTAATGGAAATCCAACCACTCCCCTGTGGGGGGCTCTCGAGTACAGTTGAAAAATGCAGCCACACATTTGTTCGGCCTTGACTTGGTGCATTTTTGGAGGGGAATAAATGCAGCAGCCACAGCAGCAGCTGGCCAGAGATCCTGCTCCCCCAGAACCGATCCATCTGGTTTTTAAGCCCAAGCTCTCTCGATCCGATCCGTTCCGATCCGATCCAAGTGCCTTACACATGCTGCCCGATTGGCTAATCACCAACATCCGTTGTCTTGGCTTCCAAGGGGGAAGAGGGAGCCCAAGAGGGCGAAGTTGGTAGCAAAGCCAAGTCGAACTGTGAAACCAAAACTAGTTTTATACCCGGGTGTCATAAAAATATTTGTGCCTGAGCCAAACCAACTGTCGTCCAACTGAGCCGCTGAGCCACTGCGCCCGGGAAACTGAGGCAAGTCACCAAGCCACCAAGCCACCAAGCCATCAAGCCACTAAACCACTCAACGCCAAGTGGTTACAGTTGGAAATACGCAAAATATTGCCAACAATCAATTGGAATTAGTTTATAACCAAGCATAATCCTGGTCGAAATGGTAGAACTCATAGCAGGAAAAATATATATCAAATAGAAAAGTATAGAAGAGTATAATTGCTACAGAATATGTATGTTATTTATATCCTTTGGTTACAAACAAGATTACGCTAAAGCTGGAAAAATAGCAAAGAGTTAATCGATTTAAAATCGATTATTGTATGCTTAACTAACGATATCTTTGATTAGGGGCACCCCTTAAAATACTTAAATATTAATGTATTAATATGATATATTTCAAGCTTTATACGAGGCTGTTTATTAAGTATTATGATTCTTATTATTATTAGTATTATTATCTTTCAAAGCTGACTTCTATCGAAATGAAACTATTAAATTTATAAAAATTCAATACAATTTAAACAATGCCATGAGAGTATTCCCCATTAAGCAGCTTTCTTTCTCGAATACCTTGGTTTTTGATGAGTAATTTCACTGAAGAAAGTTACCAAAGCTAAACCAAAAATGAAATCGCATTGATATGGGTGTGACTTTAGCCATAAAATGCATTGTATTATCGATAAGCAATGCTTGGCCGATTTGATATTATTTCGATAATTTGCAGTTTTCCCCTCTGATCTGATCAACCTTGAAGCACTTTTGCGCTATGCAGTTTTATGTCGCAATCAAAGTCTGGCCAAGCGTAAAACTATAACTATGAGTATAACTATATATCTTTGGCTCTATCTCGAGCTCTATATGTATGAAATGCAGCATTAATCCAGCTAACCAACCGACAATTTCAGGAGTCCGAATCCCAAGTCAGTCTCTCTCTCTCCGGTGCCAGATTTCTTCACATATTTTCCGCTTTTTTTTCACAGCCGAATGCATTTCTAATCCAGCTCAGAGTTAACTTTTTCCTGAATGAATCTCCGGCATCTTGTCTCGTCCAAGACAGACAACAATAATTTGTAGAGTCTTTCGCGGGGCCCTTAATTGCCGGCGACTTTCATAAGAAAGTTACAAAATTAATCCACTGAAGAGGCGCTAATAAAGAGGGTCTTCGGACCCAGAGACGAGCCAAGCGAAAACGTTTCACAAGAGAAATGAAAATACGAAAACGAAAATACAAATAAAAATGGAAATGGTAATAGTAATGGAAATGGAAATGGAAATGTGAGGTGTAACGCCCTAACCAGACGCTGGTTATGCAAGAGAAGAAAAAATTAAGAAAACCATTTTCCAGACGCCAAAAATTTGCATAAATCTCAAACCAATAAAACAAAACCCGAAAAAACAAATACAAATAAATTTAAGAAAAAAATGGAAAATTGAAAACTGAAAACGATATATGAACCCCAACCCCGATACCAAACCCCCTTTGCATTTTTTTTTTTTGGTATTTCCCCATTGTGTTGCTTAAGTACCGGACATGGACAGGTCGTGGAGAAAAACACGTTTTTCAACTGCCAGCAAGTCTCTCATTTCTTTTTTTTATATATTTTTCACCTCATGAAAATGCCTGATGCGGTTTGTTGGTAATAAAGGAAAACCCGTCTCGTTGTCTATCTCTCTCTCTGCGATTTCCCTTGGTGGAAAAGTCAAGACAAGCCAGCCGAAATTGTAGAATTTCTGCCAAAAAACGTGTGGAACGTGATATCACTCGGAATTATTGGATTTCACTTTATTTTTTTCGGGTCTTTTCTTTTTGGCTTTCGTAATTAATTTGCTTTTGGTGAAAGGGCGAAGAGACGTGGAGTTCTGCCTTAAAGAATCATTAATTGAATGATTTGATGAGCCAAATAATTGGTGACTCAATCAAATGCGTCATATTTTAATTAATTAGGGGATTTATTCTAAAGTAAAGAAGATATCTTGCTTGAATGAGTAAAAAGGTGTCAAGTATTTAAGGCAATTTATGATCTATGAATAGCTTAGTTTATGGGCAAGAGATAAGTTACTATGTTCATAAATAGCTTAGTGTATTTAAGCTATGATTTAATATGAGTTAAATTACAAAAATAAAGCAAGACTAAGAAATAATTTGAAAAGTAAATAAAGTCTGGGGAACGAATACAAACAAAATATGGATTATAATGAAAATGATGATATTCTATTAATGAGGCTTAAATAAATTACAAACTATATCAAATGGGAGCTACAAAAATGTATAGTTAATGGGTATTATGATCTATTAGTACATAAGCCCCTTGAATCTATCAAAAAATCTATTAGAATTGATGTTTTTATCCTTATAGAGTTATATCTGCTACAGGGTTGCAAATATCAATTTTAAAATCGATTAACATCAATGTTTTTCTATCGTTATTTTGAAAAGAAATGCATAGTAACAGGGTTTTATGCTTTATAAGCACATAACATCCTTGGACCCATGCAAAAATCAAATTTAAATTAATGTTTTCCCTTTTGACAAAGAGTTATAGTAACTAAATGATATAAACTGCAAATCAGATTAAGATCTTACAGCCACAATACGCACTGTAAATGGGTATTATGCGGCTATAAGCACATGGAGCCACTTGGGGGAACCTTGGGCCAGCTCATCGTCGTCGAGAATTGCTCAACGCAGCCACCGAAAACAATGGGAAACCGCGGAACGTGTTCAAAATGCCACTCGATCTGATATGAAAGCTAAAGCTACATCTTTATACTACCTATATTTGTGTATATATACACCCCAGCCCAAGCAACCCACACTAACTGGAGTCGAGATGAGATGAGATGACCGAATGGATGAATGGATGGATGGATGGATGGGTGGATGTTGGTGGCTGATGATGATGATTATGATGATCGACTTCTCGATCTCGGCCTTTCAATGCCGATTGTGATATGGCAATATATATACACATATATTGCGAGATATTGTACGAGGTAGTTGAACAAATTATTAAGAGAGACGCCCACGGAAACAGGTTTTATCAATGAACTTCAATTCAAGCTGCTGTTTTGTTTGCCCGATTGAATAACCATTTATTATTATTATGAATATTTCAGTGAGCTTTATTTCTGATAATTTACTCTAGGCGTTAATCCCTTAAGAAGGTTAACTCGAGCTTATCGCAGATTGTAAAAGTCAAAAGCAAATCAAGTTAAATATATAATGAACACTGCGAACAATTTCCAAGGGTTTATAATTAGTATAAACCTTGTATTAAGTTTAGTTGTTTATAAGAAAACTATCCCTTAACTAAACCCATTGTATTTTTATTAATTTCAGGCCTTTGCTGCCAAGCATTCGGATGCGGATACCTTGATGCACAACCTGAATGTAAAGTACTACTACTACACCAGGACACGCGGCTTGTTCAGGATCTGTTATCCCAAGGAGAGACCACCGGCCACAGCGGGTAAGTCTCTAGTCTCCAATATATATATATATACAGACATATAGCTAATCCTATCTTATCCTCTTTCAGTGCCTACGTATCTCTCTCCCATTGAGACGCACTGCTCGAACATTGACTACTTCCCGCAGGCGGAGGATGAGAAGATTGCCAATGAGGATGCCACCTCACGCCTGCATCTGGCTCGCTCCTGCATTGCCCTGTTCATCATCAGTTTTGTGACCATTTTCTGTGCCTTCTGGACCGGCTTATCGGGCTGTTGGAAACGCTCTTCAGGAGCCATAACAGCCACCTCGATCCTCCTGCTAGTCACCTGTCTTCTAGCTGCCGGCGCCATGGGACTCTGGCACACGGTTGAGTTCTTTGAGAAGGAGAAGGTTGTGGGCGAGGACTATTTCCAGCAATGGAATACGGTAAGTACTGGAAACTTCTTCCCTATTTAAATTCGTATTATTAAATTCTGTAATTTTTAAATAGGTTCTGAGGGACAACACAAAGATTGCCTATGACTGGTCGTACATTGTGGCCTGGGCAGGAATTGGAACTTGTCTATTGGCGGCCATCCTGCTCTCTGGAGCGGCCGTTTGCCTGCGCAACGAACGCGAGAAGGAGGAGCAACTGAACCTGCAGTACCTGATGCCAGGTGGGAAGCTATATAACCATCAGAATTGGAATTGAGATACTAATATTCGATCTTTACAGTTTACTCGCAGAAGCAGCCCCCGTATCCCCCCTACGCCAACTATGCCCAGCCGCAGATCTATCCTGGACCCTATTACCATGGCTCCCAGTATGGTCCCTACAACTACTAGGAAGTCAGCTGGAATCAGAGCATAGAAATCACAAAAAACACAAAAAAAGGAACAGCAGATGATCGAGGGAACCCCCAGTAAAGCACAAAAAAAAACACACACGATGAACAACTTGAGAAATAATAGCAGCTTAAAAGAAATAATTACATTCGACAATAATAATATAAAACATCTTAATTTTTTTTTGCAATTCGTCAAGAATTATAGTTTGTAGTCTATATAGATATATACACATATATGTATATGTATAACTGAACGATTGTGGGACTTGAGTCAAAGTTGCGTCAAAGTTTTTTTGGTGCGCGAAGTGTTTGCGCGTTTTTTGCAAATAAAATAAATCAAAGTACATAATATATATATATATATAAATATATATTAGAAGAGCTTATATAATATATAAATCGAATATGCAAGCGAATATAAAAGACCGGAACAATAAAGAGTTAATTTATTGTAGCACGTAGCGTACATGTGTAGCGTATCTAAAATAATAATTAATAAACGAAAATATGTATGTCTGTATGTTCTAAGCTAAAGGTTTCACTGTACAATGTGTAATATGAATGTAATAATGTGCGGCAAGCTTCAAATTGTCTTCCAAGTACAGTGCATATTGTATGCAGAGAGAGAAAAGATAGAGAGAGAGCTGTATGATTAATGAATAAAAGTTTTCTTACGTTAAATGTGTTGAGATGAGATTTCATTATTTAAAATTAAAACGGATTTTGATTGGGCTTATTTTGTTGTTTGAGCTTTCAAAATTCAAATTTTGAACGTATTTTTGAGGTGCTCAAAATAAACATCGTCATCGATGGTCGATAATCATCGCGTTTTTTACCTAGCGACTCTGCGTGATATCGATAATAGCTTAAGAGTAGTGTGACCAGTCCTAACAAAGCTATGTGACCAGTCAGTCGTCGCTCATAACGCTATAACGCAGCAGCTCGTACGTGGAATTGAATAAAAATAAACAAAAACATTAAAAAGGTTTAAATAATGAGCGGCGAGAAGGCCGAAAAGGCCAAAATCAGTGCCCAGATCAAGCATGTGCCCAAGGATGCCCAGGTGATCATGTCCATACTCAAGGAGCTCAACATTCAGGAGTACGAACCGCGCGTCGTCAACCAGATGCTGGAGTTCACTTTCCGTAAGAGGCCCGCCCCTTCATCTACATTCTGGTGTTCAGTTAAGTCTATAATACAATTCCTACAGGCTATGTGACCTGCATCCTAGACGACGCTAAGGTGTACGCCAATCATGCGCGGAAAAAGACCATCGACCTGGACGACGTGCGTCTTGCCACCGAAATGACGCTGGACAAGAGCTTCACTGGCCCGCTGTCACGTCACGTTCTGGCCAAGGTGGCCGAACTACGAAACAACATGCCCCTGCCGCCCATCAAGCCGCACTGCGGCCTGCGTCTGCCCCCGACCGCTACTGCCTCACCGGCGTCAACTATAAGTTGCGCGCCAGCAATCAGCCCAAGAAGATGACCAAATCGGCGCTGGAGGGGCGACCGATCAAGACCGTCGTCAAGCCAGTGTCCAGTGCCAATGGGCCGAAGCGTGCTCACTCGGTGGTGTCCAAGCAGCAGGTTGTAACTATACCCAAGCCCGTGATTAAGTTTACCACCACAACGACAACCAAGGCGGTGGCTAGCAGTAGCAGTGCCAGTGGAGGCGGAGCTGCTGGCGGAGGAGGATCTGTTGGGGATGTGAAGAGCGAACCAAGCGGCGGCACTAGTGGCGGAGATCTCAAAATGGAGGTGGACAGCGATGCCGCGGCTGTGGGCAGTATTGCCAGCACATCGGGCGCCGGCGGTGGAACAGCAAGTGTCAGCGGTTCGAGCACCTCCGGCATGGCCGTGAAGCGGGAACGCGAGGAGGACGAGTTTGAGTTTACAGCAAACTAAGGAGCGTGAGAGCAGTAGATATTAAGACAAACACCCTCAGAAATCGCTTTATAGTTAAGATTAACTGAAAATTGTTTCTAAAAGTAAGCCAGGGAAGATGTAAAGACCACAATTCACTGTAAATTGGTAGAAGAAACACGTCGAAGGCTATTTTTGGGTCGCATTTCGAATGACTTCAAACCCCCAGCGATATCTTGAACCCTCTTCACATATTTTCACATTCAACCAAAATCAAAAGTTAAGAAATAGAAGTTTGAAATCGAAAAGGACAGTCTGTTTACCGAGAAATTCGAATTTACAAGAAGAATAACCACCCAAGGGAGATCAAAATGTTTCTGATATAAATGTAAATAACGCGAGAAATGTAACCGAAAAAGAAAAGAATGAAAAACACTCACCAAAACAGCAAGTAAAGATTCATTTTAAATATATATGTATTTTCAGCCAGTAGGCATACTGCGTATTCTTTTGGAGAGAGTGAGAATCATTTTAATGCCAGGATTATCGAGCAGCCGAGATCCATGATCTGCAGATACTCGGAGCCGCCGTCCTGCAGGCGATAGCAGCATTCCTGCAAGGAAAAATAGAAACCATATTAACATGTTATCGTTTCCTTCTTCTTTTGAATAACTTACACCCAATTTATCCAAAATCTTGGCCTTTTGCGGATCGTTGAGACCTGGATGATGGACAATGAACTCGACAAACTGCTCCATCATTTGGCCCACACTGTAGGCGGAATAGCCAATCTCGCGAACAAACTGCTCCAGGCGTTCATAGTTGCCTGAGCGGCACACCTCCAGATAGTCATCTAGGTAATAGTCCGGTATAACGCCCGACATCTCGAACAGATCTGCTGTATTGATGGTGTGCTCGGAGCCCTTCAGGCGGTAGCATGACTGCAACGTGGTTATGGCGCGACGCAGATCACCAGCGGAGATCTTAACAATGGACTTGTACGCATCCTCATCGATCTTGACACCCTCTGTGTCGCAGATGTGCCGCAAGCGGGTGATTATCTTCTCCTCGCCCAGCGCCTTGAAGCGGAATTTGGAGCACCGCGATGTGATGGGCACAATGATGCGCGAGACGTAGTTGCAAATCAAACAGAAGCGAGTGCTGCGGCTCTCCTTTTCCATGGTGCGACGCAGCGCAGACTGGGCAGCATGTGTCATCGAATCTGCTTCGTCGAGGATAATGATTTTGAACGGCGGGCAAGGCCTTCCATCCGGACGCACACTGCTGGCTGAAAGCTGTGAGAAGTTCTTGATCTTGGTGCGCACCACATTGATGCCACGCTCATCGGACGCGTTCAGCTCAAGGATGCGGTCTTTGTACATATCGCCGAATATCTGTCGGGCTGCTGCCAGAATGGTGCTCGTCTTGCCCGTACCCGGTGGCCCGTAGAGCAGCATGTTCGGCAAATCGCCACCCTCGACGCACTTGCGCAGCACGGCAACCACCTCGGACTGCTCCACCACATCGTCCACATTGCGGGGCCGACTATTAAGTGGAAGTTATTACTAGAATAATGTGCTTTTTGTGCTAGCAATAATGAATAACTTACTATTTCTCCACCCAAGGTGCCGGCGGCTTGCGGCGTTCAACGGCTGCCCCCTGACCCTTTTCTCCATTACCAGCACTTGATTTTCCAGTTTTCAAAAATGCTTGCATGTTTGAGGAATGCTTCGAATTTAACAGAAATAATAAATAAATAAAGAAAACTTGGCTGCGTCCTGACTGCGCGCCTTTTGGTAGTAAAAAAGCGCGAAACGCCTATCGAATACAGGGTTGCCAGACGCCTCTCATGATTACACTGGACCTTTCCTATATTTATTTATTAAATAAATATTAAATTGCATATTAATTCTATAAAATTTAACATTCTACCTTACACACATAAGAAACAAGACAGTTTGTGAAATATTCTATATAATACTTGGACTTTTAAGATTGATTTTTATTCATTTATTAAATAAAAATTAAATTGCATATAAAATCTATAAAAATTTAACATTCTACTTTGCACACATAAGAAATAAGACAGTTTGTGACATATTCTATATAATAATAGTTCGACTTTTAAAATTAAAGTTTTAAAATATTGTTTTCGATATATGGTTTAATATGCTTGTGTATGTCAAGTACATTTCACGCAGTTTTCTTGTTGGTGCATATATATATTTAATAATATTATTATTATTTATTTAAATAATTCCATTCATTTTATGTTACTTTTAAGTAAAGGGATTAGTTTCTTGAAGTACAAAGCAGTTTTAAATGTTATATCTACATTAATTTAAAAAATTAATTTTATTTGTTACCAATGCTTTGCTTTAACAGCTTTGGCACAGCTAACTTCGCAATTAAAAAATATACTAATTATAAAAAATAACATAAAACAAACTAAGAAATAAAAGTCCAGTTTGTTGTAGGCTCAAATTTTAATTTTTTTCGTACAAAATAAAGCAATGTTCAAAGTATGGTGTTTTTTAATTAATGTTTAATATTTATTATATACAAAATTAATATAGATGTAAATTTTATGTAAATAAAACTTGTAGCGGTGTTAATCTGTTAAAAAACATTTCAAATTAAACTGTCTTGCTTAAACTTTTAAATTTAAAACAAAGATTACATGTTTCCAAATTATATCTAACAACTAAACGCAAATTCAGAATATTTTTAATAATTAATTATCCAATAACCAAAACTTTTTCTCTCAGTGTGAAACCGATAGGCGCCGATAGCTCGGCCTTGCATCGCCTTGCAACACTGGTCCTCGCCGCTGTTGTGTTTTTGTTTTTGTGGTTTCCGCTTTTATTTTTGATTTATTGCAAAACTGATAATTGCAGTTTTTATAAAGAATATAATTAGAGCGGCGTCGCTGGCAGGGTGGACAAACATGATTAGCCGCCAAGCGCCTGCCTCCCGATGTTTTATAAGAGCGCTAAATACAATTTTGATTTGATTTCCGGCTCGTTCGAAGTTTCTTGTGTTGTTGTTGTTGCCTCGAACATAAACAACACATCCAACAGAATGTTTGCCAAAACCTCCGCCGTCGTCGCCGCCGCAGCAGTCGTTGTTGTTATGTAAAGGCACGGAAGCGAAACGTTGGACACAAAGGCCAGAGCCAACGATCCTCTCCATCTCCATATATGTAGATATATCCCATTCGGAAGCGCCACAGTTCGTTCTCCTCGCGAACAGAGAGAGTGCGATAGAGAGAAGAGCGGGATTGTGTGAGTTTTCTTTCTTCAACTGCGAGCTCCCAAAGTTTGTTCTCCGCCTGTGTTTACTTTTCCCATTGGCAGGATCTCTAATACTCTCTCTTTTCATCTTTCAGAGTTACGTGATGGCTGCCGCTGCAACAGGTTCACCGCCCGAGGAATCAGCGACTTCAACAACTCCCGGCTCCTCTACTGGACTTGCCTCTGCCAGTAGACGCCCCCTACTGCGGCCCGAGAATATGACTATGCGGATTCCTTTGCCTGCACCTACATCGTTTCCATGGTAGCCGTCTCCATAGCGGATCTGGCCTATCCGCTGGACTTGACCAAGACGCGTCTCCAGATCCTGAGCGAGGCAGCTGCGGTGCTGCAATGCTGGCCGAAAACTGTGAGAAGTTTTGGATCGTCTTGCCCGTACCCGGTGGCCCGTAGAGCAGCATGTTTGGCAAATTGCCGCCCTCGACGCCCTTGCGCAGCATGGCTACCACCTCGGACTGCTCCACCACATCGTCCACATTGCAGGGCCGACTATTAAGTGAAAGATATTACTATATATTACTGTGCTTTTTGTGCTACCAACAAAGAATAACTTAGTATTTCTCCATCCACGGTGCCGACGACTTGCGGCGTTCAACCGCTGCCCCCTGACCCTTTTCTCCATTACCAGCACTTGATTTTCCAGTTTTCAAAAATGCCTGCATGTTTAAGGAATGCTTCGAATTTAACAGAAATAATAAATAAATAAAGAAAACTTGGCTGCGTCCTGACTGCGCGCCTTTTGGTAGTAAAAAAGCGCGAAACGCCTATCGAATACAGGGTTGCCAGACGCCTCTCATAAATACACTGGACCTTTCCTTTATTTAGTTATTAAAAAAATATTAAATTGCATATTAATTCTATAAAATTTAACATTCTACCTTACACACATAGGAAACAAGACAGTTTGTGAAATATTCTATATAATACTTGGACTTTTAAGATTGATTTTTATTCATTTATTAAATAAAAATTAAATTGCATATAAAATCTATAAAAATTTAACATTCTACTTTACACACATAAGAAATAAGGCAATTTGTTACATATTCTATATAATAATTCGACTTTTAAGATTTAAATTTTAAAATATTGTTTTCGATATATGGTTTAATATGCTTGTGTATGTCAAGTACATTTTACGCAGTTTTCTTGTTGGCACATATATATATTTAATAATATTATTATTATTTATTTAAATAATTCCATTCATTTTATGTTACTTTTAAGTAAAGGAATTAGTTTCTTAAAGTACAGAGCAGCTTTTAATATTATATCTACATTAATTTAAAAAAATGTATATTATTATTTGCTTACGAAGTGTTTAGTAAAAATATTTATATATATTATATTATATATATTAAATTAATATTGATGGAAATTTTGATCTAGTTAAAAAATTAAGCGGTGTTAATCTGTTATTAAATAATTTAAATTGAACTATATTGCTTAAATTTTAATATAAAAATCAAAAATTAGATGTTTCCAAAACAAATCTAAGAACTAAACGCAAATTCAGAGTATTTAAAAAAAGAATTAATCAATAACCAAATCTTTTTCTGTCAGTGTGAAACCGATAGGCGCCGATAGCTCGGATTTCCATCGCCTGGCAACACTGTGCCCCGCCGCTGTTGTGTTTTTGTTTTTGTGGTTGCCTCTTTTATTTTTGTTTTATTGCAAAGCTGATAACTGCAGGTTTTATAAAGGATATAAATAGAGCGGCGTCGCTGGCAGGGTGGACAAACATGATTAGCCGCCAAGCGCGTGCCTCCCAGTGTTTTATAAGAGCGCTCAATGCGATTTTGATTTGATTTCTGGCTCGTTCGACGTTCCTCCTGTTGTTGTTGCCTTGAACACAAACAACACATCCAACAGAAGCGTTTGCCAAAACCTCCGCTGTCGTCGCCGCCGCAGTAGTCGTCGTTGTTGTTATGTAAAGGCACGGAAGCGAAACGTTGGACACAAAGGCCAGAGCCAACGATCCTCTCCATCTCCATATAGATTTATCCCATCCGGAAGCGCCACAGTTCATTCTCCTCGCGGACAGAGAGAGTGCCATAGAGAGAAGAGCGGGAGCAAACATCACGCGATTGTGTGAAAGTTTTCTTTCTTCAGCTGCGAGCCCCCAAAGTTTGTTTTCCGCCTGTGTTTACCTTTCCCATTGACTGGAACTCTAATATTCTCTCTTTCCACCTTTCAGAGTTACGCGATGGCTGCCGCTGCAACAGGTTCACCGCCTGAGGAATCAGCGACTCCAGCAGCTCCTGGCGCCTCGCCTGCGCCTGCATCCGCCAGTGGACGCCATCAGCTGCGCCCTGTGAAGTATGACTATGCGGATTCCTTTGCCTGCACCTACATTGTGTCCGTGGTGGCCGCCTCCATAGCGGAACTGGCCACATATCCGCTGGATTTGACCAAGACGCGTCTCCAGATTCAGGGCGAGGCAGCTGCGGTATCTGCACTGGCCACAAGTAGAACCAATGCCAAGGCCAATGTGAGTATAAGAAGCCCAGCCCGTGTCCCAGCCTTTTGCTTGTTTTCTGTCATTGTGGTTATTGTTGTTGTTGTTGTTTCCGGCTTTTGGTTACTCCACACCCCACCCCCACGGCAATCCCTAATCCATCCATTTGTTGATCTCACCTACATAAGCCAAGCATGGAACACAGCCCCTCTGATTTATCTCATCGGCGATAAGGTTCCGTTTTGAGTTTTTTTTTTTGTATTTATTTACGTTGAGAAGGAATGAAGAGATAAGGCTTGTCGGAGTGGGCACGGCACGGCCATGGTGATGGTGATATGGCGCTGTGCTTGGAACTGATGTTTGCCTCTTAGCTTCTGCTTGACTTGTCCATTCATTTACCCATCCCTCCACCGCATCCGTAGTCCTGTATGTTTTTTTATGTTATTTGTTGCCCAGATTACTTATTGCCCCTCAATATCCTCAATCCAACGTATGTGTGTGTGTGCCTGTTCCATGTGAACCTTGCGTGTAAAATACAGATAATACAATGATCCAAAACCAAAGCAAAATGACCGATGATATCCAACGATTCATTACCATTTACCAGATGCAATACCGCGGCATGGTGGCCACCGCCTTCGGGATTGCGCGCGAGGAGGGCGCCCTGAAGCTGTGGCAGGGCGTGACGCCGGCGCTCTACCGACACGTCGTGTATAGGTGGGCATCCCCTCTTTCTCTCTATCAAATCCTCCTCATCTTTCCAGCATCAGCACCAACACTTGCCAGCCATCTCTGCCAGTCGCCAGCAGCAGCAGCAGCTCCAGTTTCTTCAGTTTGAATCAACAGTCTGTTCTAATCAAAGTTTTCCTTGTCCATTCGCAGCGGCGTGAGAATCTGCAGCTACGATTTGATGCGGAAGGAGTTCACGGAGAATGGTACTCAGGCCCTGCCCGTGTGGAAGTCGGCGCTGTGTGGCGTCACTGCCGGTGCTGTGGCCCAATGGCTGGCCTCGCCCGCTGACCTCGTCAAGGTCCAAATCCAAATGGAGGGACGCCGGCGATTAATGGGCGAGCCACCTCGTGTGAATTCGGCGGGTCATGCCTTCCGGGAGATTGTACAGCGAGGTGGCGTCAAAGGACTGTGGAAGGGCAGCATACCGAATGTGCAGCGAGCGGCGCTGGTGAATCTGGGAGATCTCACGACCTATGACACCATCAAGCACCTGATTATGCACCGCCTGCAAATGCCTGACTGTCATACCGTCCATGTGCTGGCCTCCGTGTGTGCGGGCTTCGTAGCTGCCATTATGGGCACGCCGGCGGATGTGGTGAAGACACGTATCATGAACCAGCCCACCGACGAGAAGGGAAGGTGAGTGAACACAGCTCCCAGAATTATTTAGAAAACCAATGTTTATCATTATATTCCCTTTAGGGGCTTGCTATACCGTGGCTCCGTGGATTGCCTGCGCCAGACGGTGTCCAAGGAGGGCTTCGCGGCGCTGTACAAGGGCTTTCTGCCTTGTTGGATACGGATGGCACCGTGGTCGCTAACCTTTTGGCTGTCCTTCGAGCAGATTCGGAAAATGATCGGTGCCTCCAGTTACTAAGAAAGGAGGAGACCCCAATCTACTATGCTTAGGTGACTGAATTCCCCCTGACTCTCCAGATTCCACCTCTGACCTTAACACCCTTATTTTCGTGCCAGAAAAAACAAACCCTAAAGTAGCATCTACTCTGTTCAGTTTTAGTCTGTTATTCCCTCTCTTCTCAAATCATTCGGGTTTCTTTATATTATATATATATTTTGTTATTGTTGTTGCCTTAAGAAAATCAAAAAACAAATAAGTATATAAAAAACAATCAAAGTTTACAATAAAGAGCGAGAGAAACTTGTTATATTTCGATGAAATTGAAATCTAATTGAGATTTTAGCCTCCTTATTTCAAAAGCGAAAACGAAAGAGAGAACCGATGCTAACCAAAGTGATCATTTCTATATACAACAGCCCTACAGCTCCTTTGCCTACTAAAATAATAATAATAAATGATAAGGTTTAATTTCTATTTAAAATATTTGTTTTCCTAGCGAAAGATAAAGAGAGAGAGAGAGAGAGAGAGAAGAGACACGGCATAAGAATACTTTATCAATCCTCTTCTGGTTTTAGTTTTGTTTTTGGTATGTATATATTTCTAGACCAGCTCCAGTGCATTTTAAAGTAAATAATAGAAGTAAAAATTGGTAATAATAATACCTAGAAGACATACATACACACAGAGGCACACATACATATATATATATAATATATATAGACATATATTATATTCAAAAATTGCATTTACGTTTCGATTTTAAAGACTGTGGGAACAATGGAAAAGCAACTAATATTATCAACTCTTCTGGAGGGGATAGAGCGCGGGAATGAATGGCTGGCGACCGTGCTCGAGTGCGCTGAGTGCCTCCAAATTGGTCTCTCCCATCATTTTTGGATCCAAAGTGTTTGTATTGCGTGTGGTTGTGTGTGTGTGTTTGGTGTGTGCTTGACTAGACGCCGAGGAAAGTTAATCCGAATGCCAGGACCCCTATTCCAATCCCAGCATCCAGTTGATGCCTTGTACTATAAAGAAGATGAGCGGCTGCCAGGCCACCAGCCAGCGAATCCAGTCCAGCAGGCGTCCATACAATACATGTGGCTTCTCCCAGCTGTAATTGGGAGATATTAAATGATACTAGCTGTCATAAACTATTACTATTCAGCTTACGGATTGCGGAACATTTTTTGGAGATCAACCTTCTCCTTGCAGTAGGGACACGTCTGTTTCTTGCCTACAATGCACCAGCCGCGTATGCAGAACTCGTGGAATACATGGTTGCAGGACAGCTTGTATGTGTTTTCGATGACGCCCTCTTCCTTCTCGGAGACCAGCAACTGATTGCCGCATACGGCGCAGACATTTTGATCCAAATGCCGTGTGGGAATGCCCTGAGGTGTGTAGTACTACATAGGAACCAGAATTTCACATTAGCAGGAGCATTAGCTGAAGCTGGAGACGATATAAACTCACGCCAATGGCCGCTGCCATTTTATCCGAACAAATCTCGGATATATCGCGACCCAGGACACCGATGTACAGGCCATAGAAGCAGAACATCAGGCCCACGTCCATCCACGTATTCGGCGGCTGCGAGAACAGATAGTTCATCCCAAGAAAGGCGGCCATGATCACCAGGTAGCCCACAAGGCCCAGGCCGTAGCTAAGCTTGTAGATGAAATAGAACCACTTGTAGACTAGCCTGTAATAAAACACGGATAAGATTTATCGATGGCCTGCGTGCCTTATCACCGTCGTCACCGACGTATGTATGTGACTCACCTGGGCGTAGTGCCTTGGATTGGCTTGCTGATGGCCCGGCGCATCACCAGAGCCGTTATGCATGTGAACACCAGCCAGATGATAATGAAGCGCAGCCAGCCAAAGCTGCACGAGATTATCAGTGGGATGAGCCACATGGCCAGCAGGGTGACAAAGGCGTAGGAGCTATAGTGGCGCTTCTTCCACTCCACAAGGATGATCTGGGCGATGAGCAAGGTGACGAAGAGGATGATCACCATTTCCGAGTGCATGGCGTCGTGTCCTCGATGCTTTTCCACCATCATCTGGTGCTCGGCACTGCACGACAAGTAGGTGGAGGTAAAGGAGGATGAGTTAGCAATTAGGGCTTCTCTAAGCTTAACTTTACACTCACCGCATGCGCTCCTCCGGCGACATCTCGTCCAGGGACTATGGCCAGGACAAGGGAGTATCCATGAACGGGAATTGAACCAATAGTAAGTCCAGGGAAACCAACTGAATGCTAGTGAAAAACTCACCTTATTCAAGTCCACGGGCGCGTGCAGGTCCATGTGCTGCTGGTGCATTTTGTTGCCGTTGTATCCACCGTATCCTGCCGCCGCCAATCCGCCGGACAATCCCACACGTCGTCTGCGTCGTTGCGTTATCTTGCCAACGTTGCTTACTTTTGGTTTTAGCCTCGAATTTCTTATTTCCTGGTCCAATTGCTTGAAAACAAATAATTACATTTTGTATTTGTGTGCGTGTCCAGCTGCCGTCGCAGCAGTGTTGCCAGACTGTTTTAGTGGCCAAAAAAAAAGCTAAGAAGTCTGAGCTTTTAAGTTATAAATATCTTTGACATTTAACAAAAACCGTGATTGGAAATGTTGAGAAAATTAAAATGTTGTACCACTGAAGGATAAAGAAATAATACGTTTTATTTTAAAAAACAACTGAAACAAAACATATGTGACGAGAAAAAAGCTGACGTGGCTGCAACACTAAAAGTATCAAAACAGCTGATGAATTATCGATAACAGATAATCTTAAGAATGAGCTCTTCATGTGTTTACCAACACTGGTAGCGGCTTTGCATTTGTTTATATTTTTTTGTTTCGGGTCCGATTTTGATTTTTAAAAAGTGCAAGTTGCGATGCAAGTGGAGCACTGGGGCGCCGTGCCCGCGGAGGACGATGGCGGCCAACTGACTGCGGACAAATATGTGCCTACGGCTGCCAAGAAGCCCAAGCTAGACGAGATACGGCAGCGCGGGGAGTTTCAGCCGGAGGACAACCAGTAAGCCAAGTGCAAAGTATTAGAAAATGGTTACCCCTAACTAATCGTGGTCCTCCCCATAGTCACCTAGTGGAGCTAAAGAGTTCGCTGGTCACCCAGACCATCGAGGTGATGAAACAAACCGAGGTGCTGCAGTCCCTAATCGAAACTTATTCGAACAAAAATGTAAGTCATTGAAAGTCAGAGAGTACAGAAATAATTGGACTTCTATCCGCAGGGCTCTTCAAACTACCTGCTTAATCCTTGCCTCATGATACCGGAGGTGGACTTTCCGCCTGAAAACGCTGCCGATCTAGTTGGCGGCCAGAAGTTCCAGAAGCCCATCTGGTTTACGCCCACAGTCGATACGTCCTACTCCCGCGGTGATCCACAGTCGTATCCGGAGATCTCGAACAATGTGTGCCGCCAGGCGTTGCGCAAAGTGATGTGCGGCATGCTACGCCTAGCCGGCTTCACCGACTGCTCCGAGTCGGCGGTGCAACTGCTAACGGACGCCACCGAAGAGTTTCTGCGGAGCTTTATTGGCGAGTATCGTGGCTACTATGATGCGGAGCCCCGACTACAGAAATCAACGGTGCTACGACTGGTGCCCCTAGAACGTGCTTATACGAGTGTGACGGGCACATCGCTGACCCAAGTTCATAACTATTACAAGCACAAGGTGATGGCTAGGAATCGAGTGGAAATAGGAGAGTTCAACAGTGTGCTGCAGGAGTACGACAAGCTGATGAAGGAGAGCCAGAGCAGCATGCTGCACAAGCAGCATCATCACGAGTTCAATGGCAGCGACTTCCTTAACATACTGGATAACAGTGCAACCGGCAGCAGCCAGAGCATGGGCGGACACAACAACATGGTGGGCGATATGTTGCAGGATCTGGGCGGCAGCACCGGCTCCAGTGGCACCGTCAGCTCACAGCAGATGCTGTACGGCCTGCTGGATAGCCAGATATCGTCTACCTCAACGATGACGACGGTCACCAGTGGCAATGGCAGCGCGAATGGCAATGGTAATGGCAACGGGAATGGAAGTGCAAGTGCTAGTGGCAGTGGAGGGCATGGGGCCACCACATTCCATGCCACCTTTGAGTCGTAATCGAAGTTCAAAGGAGCCTTAGCTCTCAGCATTTGAATCCCTTAGCAGGGAACTGCCAATAATAATGCTGCGTGAAATACTCTTTAATTATACGTATAATATAACGAGTAGGAGTCGGGCGCCGTCTTACTTAAGATCTTGTTAGGGAAGAAGCCAAGTCAGTTTACAAAATCAATTCGAACCTCAGGAAAGAGAGCCTCTCACAACACAAAAAAAGATATTCAAGCCGTAGGAATATACTTGAGAATTAAATAACTTTCTTATCACAACTTTCAGGCTTTATTCTTCTTTCTCCTGGCAATTTTGGACTCATTCCAATTGTTCTGGCGCCGGCGCTTTGTGAATTCGTTGGTGGGCTCGATGGCCAACAGCTTGCCTCCCTTGGCATCACCGCTAGATCTGTACTGGAAGAGCTTATCCGGCCGTTGTTTCTTCTCTGCCCAGGCGAGCACGTCCTTGCCCTCCAATACGGACTCTCCACTGACTGCCACTGCTTGGAGAAGGGCCGTCGTGGTCTCTGGCCTGGATGGTTCGTTGTCTTCGTCTATGACTCTTCTTTTGATGATGGGCTTTTTGCTGGGACCGGCTGGACCTTCCACCACCAAGTCGGCAATCAGATAGCAATCGGCGTTGGACACCAGTCTCACTCCGCTCTCCTCGTGCTCATTCGTCTTCTCCTGGTGCTTTGGCTTCTCGTTGTTGTGGCAGAACTCGATTTGACTTTGGATTATCCCACTCAGGCGACTCCAAATGTGGGTTTGCATTTCCTTGGTGATCTGCAGATCGCTGGCCGGGGCATCCTGCTCCTCCAGGTAGCGTTCGCTCTTGGCAGGCGGCGCCTGTGCCGCTTCCTTGATAGACTCCTTCCCGTCTCCCTCTTTTGTGTCGCTTTGGAACATTGCATTGGTCAGCAGCGTGGTGTCCGCTGCCTCCAGGAACTGCCGCACCTGTGCATCATCCTCTGAATCGGAATCGGAGTCGCTGGCGGTCCGTTTTGTTTTGGATTTCTCGGTCATCTTGTGCTGCGTTCGATTAGCATTGTTTGTTTACATTTGAAGGCACGTGTGTGTAGGTTTGCATTTCGTCGTTGTTCAACACTTCAACAGTGTATGCGCTTAATTAACGGGAAAACGACCATCTGATAGTGTTGAACAATACTAAATAGAATCAGTAGATCCCAAGCTTTCGATCAGAAAACTAATTCTCTAGTCCAAAAAGAACTCCAGCTCCAGTGCCAGCTTAAAAAAGGTACAACTTTATTGGAATTGAATCTGTGGAACATCGCACATCTAATCCTTCTACGCCATGGAGCTGCACAGGCCGCAATTGCTCACCGGACACATCTTCATCTCGACATCCTCGCCGACGCGCACCACCGCCGCCATGCCGTTTTCCGAGTGCGGCGAGATGTGGCAATGGAACATCCAGTAGCCAGGACTGTTTGTGTAAAATCGAAAGATCGTATAGCCAAAGGCGGGCACTTGGACGGAGTCCTTGAGCGGAGCACCACGGCCACGCCGTGGCAGCGGTGTCTTCCGGTCAATTTCCTCGATCTGCCCGATCTTCTGCTCGCCCAGGACACCCATTCCCACCACCCGAAAGGTGTAGCCGTGCAGATGTATGGGATGCGGCGTGTTTGACAGGCTGGAGACTACAAACTCAACCTGTTGGTTGGCCGGCACCTGGATCACGTTCGAACAGCGACAGTGACGCTGCCGGCAGTTGAAGCCCAAGTCCGCCTGCTGCGAGCGGTTGCAGAAGAACTGACCGACGCCCAGGTTGCGGGTCTGCAGTAGCGACATTTTCGGCATGCTGAAGCTGATGTCGTCCATCTGGAAACGGAAGCCCTCACCCTGCCGCACCTTAAATGCGTTCATGCTCGTGTAGAAGGTGGCCGTCGGCTGGATTTCTGGTTCTGGTCGCTGAGCATTGAGTGTCGCCAACGAGATTGTCTTCCCAGGAGCACTGCTGTCAACTGCATCGCCCAGCTCATTGAGCGTGATGCCAGGCGCATCGTACGCATAGCTCAAGGTGTGCGTGTCCAAAGCTCGGGTGTCCGCATCACGATAGTGCAGTACCGCCTCCTGGTGCAGTTGGTTCTTCGCACAGAAGCTGTAGCCCTTGACGCGGATCCAGTAGTTGGCCACCTCCTGATTGGCGTGCAGCACAAAGTCGAATCTCTCCGCACCGTGAAGCATGATCCGCTGGACTTCTACAGGCTCGATGTCGTTGCCATCGCTGGCAATCACCACCAGATTGTGGTTGTCAATGCTCAGGCTGATCGGACAGTTGGAAACACCATTGTAGATAACCCGGAATCGGTATCGTCCGCCCCTGACCACCGGAAAGTGAGCATAGAGCGTGGGTTTGACAACCTTGATGCCTTTCTTGAGGTTCCTTCCCTTGCCATTGATCAGGATATTCTCGGCTACGCTCTCAACGAAGTTATGCACCCAGTCCTGGATCATGATCACGTGCTCAGTGAGATCAAAGTCGTACAGATGAGCATGTGGATTAAGCTTCGGCGGCATACGCACCACCAGTGGACCGGCCAAGCCGAAGGCTCTCTGGTGCTCGGTGTGGCTGTGCCACCAGTTGGTGCCCCCGTGGTCCACCTCGAAGCGGTAGCGGAAGGCCTGTCCCGCCTCAATGGGATACTGTGTTACATGGGGCACTCCGTCCATGAAAGGTGTCAAGCGTTGATGCATGCCGTGCCAGTGGACGGTTGTCGTCTCGTGCATGCTGTTTATCACATCCGCCACGATCGTATCGCCGTAACACACCTCGATGTTCATTCCGGGCAGCTGGCCATTGACCACCATCACTTCGCTCTCCAAGCCATCGGCATACTTGCAGTCATCGTTCTTTCCCAGTTCCTCTGCCACTTTGATGCCATCTATGAACTCTTTTCCACCGAGGTTGAAGCGGTATTTGGACTGGAAAAGACAGGTAAGTATTATTCCTTTTGGGAACGATATGCCCAGAACTTTATATAAACTATTTCCTACGTTACAGCACACACGAGGACGAAACGTACACAGACATGCATAAATCACAAGGCAACTGATAGGGATGTGCCCAAACACTCACCTGGAGGTATCGCTTGCAAGTCTCTGACATTGTGTCGTCGTAATGGACAACCATGTAGTAGTAGCAGGTCATCGGCTGCTGATCGGCGCAGTCACGCTTGCAGGGATGTCGCATATCCTTTTCGGCAGCACGCCACTGCGAGGACTCTGCCCCGCCTGACGACAGCTGTGGATACATCTGCATCACCCGCTCATATTTGCTCACGATCCGCTTACCACTAGCATCTGTAAATTGTTCGAAATTGGTTATTCCTTTCAGTACCCTTCAGGTATTCAAGTTAAATTTGATATTTTATGACACATTTTTATTGAAATTTATTATTTTCTTATAGATATTCCTTGGAAGCACCTTGAATGCCATGTATCTGCACACTAATTAGGCAGAATGTGAAGACCAGTGTCTGCACCAAATTGAATTTCATGCTCGCATCCACTCTATCTTTTGGAGGAGAAATTTATTTAGAAAAAAAAATAGGAAACAGGAACTAGCGTCGCCTCTGTGGCTCTGTGGCTGAGGGCCAACTTTGACTGTTAATGGGCTTCCGGCATCGGTTACCTTTTTGTAAGCGTCTTCGCTCCGGGTAAGTCACATAGGTATAGTCAGAATCGTCATAGTTGTAGTACTTAGAATCGGAGTTGGAGTCGGGACGGGCTGCCTTGTCGGCATGTTGAACACCGCGTAGCAGTTAATTGAAGATTGTGGCAGCGACAAGCCGCCGGAGATGACGATTACCAACGCAGTGATACACAAATAATTTCCCATGTTACAGAGCCCGTCACCCCCTACTGTTTTTTAAGTTACCCATTGGCCTAATTTTTGCATTTGCCAAAAATACTACAGCCTTGAAAATATAAGAACTTTAATCTCATAAATCCCTTTACAATAAATCCAAACGAAAACGTTATTTTTTTGGCAAGCTTTGTAAATTCAAATTGTGAAGTGTTGAAAAACGCTTGCAGTTGGTCAGCAGAAGTGCAGTGCTGCCAACTGTCCGTTGTTGTTTTAACTGTTATTTTAAAACGGGTCCAGGTTCAAGAGCTTTTGTCTTTCGTTTTATTCTAGAAATATGCAAAATCAACTTGTTTTTGGCACGCAAAACAGAACGACAAGTGGCATCGACATCTGCTGCTATCCCTCCGTATCAGTACGCTGCTCCTAACACTTGCCCCCTCGAATTGCGGCGCATATTTATCTGGCTTCTGATAGGCGAGGGAGCAAAACAAGCAGCAAGAGTTGTCAACGTAGATTACACATTTTAATTTCTGTGACGCTAATCAGAGCCAAGAGTATGCAAGTTCACAGTATTCTTGGGAGCAGAGCAGTCCACCACCGTTCCTCCTGCCCCTCTTCAGCAACTTTTATATATATTCCTTATTTTGAATTTCGTTTTCATTTGCTTTTATCGCAAGGCAATACTGGCCCAGCCGTAATTGTGTGCGTGCATTTGTTTATGGGGGGCCGGCAGTGTGTGGGCTGTAGACGCAGGGAGTGTGATCGCGCCTTGATTATGCAAAAAACAAACAACAAGTGGCCCGGGAGCGCTGTCGAAGAGTGCAGCAAAACATATAGCGGTAAACGTACGTACACACATACGTAAAACAAGTTTCAACGCCACTGCGCCGCTCAAAAATACTTAGCGCTGGCTGGCCCCGGCTGCCATGGAGTTCATTAGCCAGTTTATACGCCAGGCGAGCAGACGCGCCATCGGAATCAGACCGATCCTCCAGAGAAATTACACAAATCCAGTAAGTTTTCCTTTTCTTTCTGGTTTGTGGCAGCCTCAAGCGCCGTTTGTGTGAGTGTGTGTGGGCGTAGGTGGCAACACTGTCCGCAACACCGATAACAACAACCGTTGTTGTTGTTGCTGTCTGGCTGGTGTGAAATTTCACAACTTAACTGAAAGAAGTTTCTGTTAATTCCCTGATCGCCAGACTAGCCACAGCACCATGGACACCACAGTTCACTCGGCAGGAATAGCGGAGATCCACCATGTACCCATGAGTGTGATCAAGCGGCCAATACCTTCCGTCCTGGATGAGCAGAAAGTGGCATCGCTAATGGAGACCATAAAGGTGAGTGTGGGTGCGGGCAAGGGTCAATCGGTGTCGATTAGAAGTTAGTTAGCAGATTTTGTAGTCTTTTATTAAATAGTGGTATCAGTCAGCACTAATTTAAATTTAAATTTGCAAAAAGCTAAATACAGGATTTATGATATCGATTGCCATTTCCGATGACTTGCCTTTCCATTTAAATGGGCTCTCTATCTCCCTCTCTTTCTCCTTGGACACAGCACGAAGAAAGTGAGGCGGCGGAGGTGCCACCCATCGATCTGCTTTGGATAACAGGCAGCGAGGGCGGCGACTACTACTTCAGCTTCGGTGGCTGCCACCGGTTCGAGGCCTACAAGCGGCTCCAGCGGGAGACCATCAAGGCCAAGCTGGTGCGCTCCACACTGGGGGATCTCTACCACTACATGGGCTCCAGTGCGCCCAAGTACCTGGTATAAGCCTAATCTATGTTGTTTGTGCAATGTTTTCTTTGTTTTCGTTATTTTTTTACCTTTATTTCAAGCTTATCGCTGGACTCTAAATATAAATGCCTTAAATATAAACATAAGATATAGTACTGGCCTCTAAGATTAAATACAAGTGCCTTAAAAACATAGCTTATGTATAGAGATTTATAAATTTATACAATTTTAGTGCCTACTTAGGGCTACGTTTTTAATCAACTTGTACTTTGCCATTTAAAATTCTGAAGAATAATTTACAAATTCCCTAAAAATATTCGATATTCCTATCTAGCTGGAGGAGGAGATGGAGTCTTTCACTCACCAGAGAAAGGGTGATCTCTCCCTGAGTATTCGCAGTCCATATTTATGCCAGTCGTGCTGCGATATCCACAGCTCCCGGGCGCTCTCCAGCACGGACATAATGGCTGCTCCCTTCCACGCCACCATGCCGGCGTCCATGCCCTTGATGAAGACATTCACCTCAATGCCGCTGGGCAGCATCTGTTGGCTAATCCGATGCTCCAGCCAGGCCGGCAGCCCCGGCAACTTGGCGCTGCTGCCTACGAGCAGTATGGAGTTAAACATCTTACGTTTGGTTTCGTAGTTGGGTAGCCTGTTGATTGCTTGGATTATGGCCTGATCCAGGGGCAACACCTGACCCAGACTGTTGTGGAAGCAGTCCTGGTTCTCGTTGTTGGGTTGCACTGCCGAGGACTGTTGCTGTTGAGGCTGCTGTTGCGGTTGGGAGTTGCAGTTGCTTTCGTCTTGGTCTACAACGATCAGCTCCTCATCATCGGCGGTCACAGGCAGTTGGGGTGGACGCGGCACCGAGGGGTTCGGACCCGGAGCTCCCGGCAATGTAGAGTCGCCAGCCCGGACACCGTTCTTTCTGCCCGTTTCCTTCAGGTACTCGGCATCGAAGCAGTCTTCGCAGTCGTACTGTTCCTGGGGTGCCTGTTGCGTGCACACTGCTCTCGTGCGGCCTGTGATGTTCAGCAGTTCAGTGTGGAAGAGGGCCAGAGGTGCCATGATGGCCTCGTCGCCCACTTGGAGCGTGTATCTCAGCCATTGGCCGTTCTGCTTACGCAGATTGAAGTGCTTCTCCTGAGCGCCACAAACACTGGCATTCAAATGGCAGAACTTCTCCTTCAGCTCGTCTAGAAGATGGGCATCCACATAGCTGTCCTGGACATTGCACTCGCGATAGGGGAAGCCGCACTTGCGCAGCAGCATAAGCAGCACCTGGTCGAGGTCCCCGCCGCCGTAATTAAGCCTCACTCTCGCGTCCATCTGCGAAATTCCATCCTCGATGCAGGCAATAGAGGTCTTCTGAGCACCAATATCCACCACACAGCCGTAACCGATGCCAGCGCCATAGGTGGAGGCCACACTGTCCTGGACAAGGAAGCAGCACCGGAAGCCCAGGCGCTGCAACAGCAGGGTCATAAACTCTCGCAGATGCCGACGTACATAGACATCGTTGACCACCAGAACGGCACAGTGAGTACCCAGGTCGCGCAGTGGTATCTTTAGGCGCACCTCTAAGGCGTAGCCCCAGATGCGTTCCATATGCTGTAGATTAGCCTGTAAATAGGAAGGTGGTGATTTAAGGTGATAAGTTGGAGGAACTGGACACACACACCTGCAGAGATCCACCCTTATCCTTGTGTATATTCAGCTCACCCCTCTGCATGGGGAAGTGGATGTCGTAGTCACGCGCTTCGAAGGCGCTTAACCGCAAGATTTGGTCATCGAACAAGGCTAGAGCCTCGCGGTCCACCCACGGCTGCTCCTCCGGGTGCGGAGGTTGCACTTTCTCGGCCATGCTGCTTCGATTGAAGTGGGCCAGCTGCTGAGGCGGCGTGGCCACGCGCAGGCGGTTCTTCTCATCCACAACGCAGTGCTGTAGGATGCGCGACACGGCCAGGCGTTGCTCCTCAAACTCAACCTGCAGCCGGGCGGGATTGATGTTGTCCAGCGGCGGTAGCAGGGGATCGTGGTACGGCCAGTCGCCTTCCTGCTGCCACCGCCGGTAAGCCACTGCATGGAGCAGTGTCAGCGGATTGAGGTCAGCCGCCCGGCCTATGCGCAAGTGCTGTGACCCCGGATGGATCACGATGATCTTGGGCGCCTCCAGGGGCTGCACCTGGCGCTGTTGTGTTGCTGTTCCCGCCGCAGCCGGTTGCCGGCCGCTGCTGGTGCTACTGGCGCGAGAGCGTCTAAACGAGTGAGGCGGCACATGAGGGTTAGGTTCGATCGAACACCGGCTGAGACACCACTTACTGCATGGTTCGGTCCGGGTCCTGGTCCGTGGAGGAACAATAAAAGATTTTATTTAAACCTTTGGTTCTATTTAACCCAATCGATACAAGCTTATCGATGGCGCAAATTGAATTGGTACGGAGTCATCGATGTATCGATTACTTAATTGTGTTTATTTAATAATTCTTATTGGAACTATATATATATAAAAAAAGAGAAGGTCATAAACAAATTTCTTTGATCTTTTGATATACACAAGAGAAAATAACCTCAAAATAATGAATATACGTCTCATCGATGTTCTTGATGATTTCGAAAGCATCGATTCATCGATTGCGTCGTCGTCGTTTCTTCCAGCTCTACAACTGAGTTTTCCAGCAACTGACAGAGCATGCAACGTGATTAATTAGTTTGCGAGCCTAGAAAGACGACCGGAAAGAAAAGCAAGCGCTAAGGAGAGCAATTAGGAGCTAGGAACACACACCGCAGCAGTCGCCAGCGGAGACACCCACAGCCAGAGAGCTAGCGAGGAGACAGAGCAGCCATGCCACGCGGAAAGTTCGTCAACCACAAGGGTCGCTCTCGTCACTTCACGTCGCCCGAGGAGCTGCAGCAGGAATCCGAGGAGGAGAGCGACCAGTCGGGCAGCGGTAGCGGCAGTGACAGTGATGCTGAGGACGCCAAGGCGGACAAGGCCAGCGGCTCGGCAGCGAAGCCAAAGCCATCGGCCGCCCGGAAACCCGCTGCTTCCAGTCGCCAAGCGGCGCAGCGACAAAAGCAGCGGGCAGCCGGCGGTGCCGGTGGCTCCTCAGAGTCCGAATCGGAGGAGGAATCCGAGGATGACTCTGAGGCTGAGGCGCGCGATGCCAAGAAGGGCGTGGCCTCGCTGATTGAGATCGAGAATCCCAACCGGGTGACCAAGAAGGCAACACAAAAGCTTTCGGCCATCAAGCTGGACGATGGGCCAGCCGGTGGCGCTGCCAAGCCAGAGCTGTCGCGCCGAGAACGTGAACAGATTGAGAAGCAGAAGGCCCGCCAGCGATACGAGAAGCTTCATGCTGCAGGCAAAACGACCGAGGCAAAGGCGGATCTTGCCCGGTTAGCCCTTATCCGGCAACAGCGTGAGGAGGCGGCCGCCAAGCGGGAAGCTGAGAAGAAGGCCGCCGAGGCTGGCGCTAAGAAACCAGGAGCCAAGTAGATACAGCCGGCAAAGAATGCGAATGCTCATGCTCTCCAATCAACCCCAATCCCGAACCCACAACCCAATCCCAATCCCAATCCTTATCCCTCATCCAACCGAACCTAACCGAACAGACCAGATGAAGCAATGGCAACCACTGGGGCTAATGGCAATTAGATAAGTAAATTAACCAAGTACAGCACGATGCTATCCGCTATCCGTGCTGATTCAAAATTTCATCAAGTTTTCTATGCCTGTCTTTTTTGTAATTGCGAATTATACAAAACAAAAATAAACCACGATGTATACACGATGGCTGCAGCGACTGATAACCTGTCCAGGGGCGGTACCGGGGATTGAGGCGTAATTTAAACGTATATATCAAGAAAGCAAAGCCTTTGAGCACTTAAAATGCTGCTTTGGCAATCCGGTTTAGGGGTAAATAATGCCGGAAATTGATATTTAAACCGATTATGATATAACTATACTAAAAAATTAACCAAATACAAAGCAGGATTCCCGAATTAATCCAGGGGAGCCATTTTTTCAATTGCAAATCTGCACAAAATGTAATTCGTTAGCTAACTACAATACTAAACTAGGAATATAGTATTTAAAAAAACCATTATAATATATAATAGTCACTACACTACGCCCCACACCTCCTCGAAGGCGGAGCAGAGTTTGGAGCATGCTATGGCCGCCGACAGCGGGTAATTGCTGATCGAGAACAGCTCCTCCGTGTAGTCTGTCTTGAGGACGCCGTGGGCAAAGGCACCGATGACCATGACTACGGGCACATCGTAACTGGCGCTGCCCTCCTCGCCGTGCGGGACCAGTTCCCGGCAGTTGGATACAAGCTTGCCGGAGAAGCTCATGGCGTACTTCTTGCAGCCAACAGGCAGGTGATCCGTAATGGGATTCTTGATCACACTCATCAGTCGGCGGGATGAATCATTGGCACGGATCTGGAACTTGTGCAGCAGCTGGACCATCAGACCAGCAAAACGCTTAAAGGTACGCGGTATGCGCGTCTGTGGATTGATCTCGATCAGTACGTTGTGCTCCGTGCGGATGAACACCTGCAGCAGGCCGGCGCGGTTCAGCGGAGAGTCGAACAGCATTAGGAGACACTGATGTGTGATGTCTGGACGGCAGGTGCCTGGATCACGCTGGTTCTTGCGCATGATGCCCGCATGGTCGTCGCAGTTCAGCAACTCAAATTGGTTGTGCACCTGGAAGGGATTAGAATGGTGTTAGGGATTCCCTGGACAGTAGCTAAGAGCCTCTCCCACCTTCACAGTCTCCAGCTGAGCGCCCTCCAAGACGATGATCAGACGCTTCTCGCTGGCGTTCAAGTGCAGCACCTTGAACTGCTTCTTGTCCAGATCGAATTCCGGGTCGTCCGCCTTGCGGCCCACGAATTTGCGTTTCCGGTTAATTGCCTTTCCTTGGCCTCCCATGCTGGCTCTCTTAGATTGAATATAGCGTTTTAATTCTTGTTCTAAATAACGAAAACCAAAAACAAAACGAGCACGCGGCGCTGATTTAGTGGTGGAAGTGCAGCTGCAAAAATATCGAAACTATCGATCTGTATTTTAGTATTTTCGTGTGCCAGACCGTGCATTTGAAGGGTGTGTGTCTTGGATTTGTTTACTTTTGCAAAACTGTTCCCACATTTCATACCAAGCCACTGTTGGTATTTAATGGCATAGCATTTATGTAGGTGCATTGCTAAAGGTTTTATTAATAGTAGTAAATTATAATAATTGGTAATAAACTGACTTAATTAAACAAGTATTCTTTTATTTTAATTAAATCTCATTTGCTAATAAATGTCAATTTGTTTTCGTTTCAATTTTGACATTGTACATTGTGTAGATCTATTTTATTTTATTTGTTTTATGATTTAAGTTTAATTTAATTTGAATTTAAATGGTGAAATGAATTATATATAACTTAAGAATCAGTTTTGGCATTCAGATAATCGCAAGATACAATAATACTTTAAATATAGGCAATATCATTTTTATGGGAAAATCAAATTTTAAAAATCTCATAACTAAGCCAAAAATGCATTAATTTCAAATCAGAAAGCTGTTCTGTGTTAGTTTTTGCAATATTAATAAATCTGCATACTCAATTTAAAATTAAAAAAAATTAAAATTTTTGTCATTTTTGAAAATTTTAACGATGTAACCCCTTATAGAAATTTGAAAAAAAAACTTAAAAAAAATTTTTCTTTCAAACATGGCTAGAAAGATTCCCCTGTTGATGCTGATCAAGAATATATATGATTTATAGGGTCGGAAATGACTCCTTCACTCAAGTTGTAAACTTTTGTGTTTACTTATAGCACCTTGGAAGGGTATAATAAACGTGTTTTATTATTTCTTGATTGGCAAATAATGCTCCAGAGACCTATATTTATCAGATATATATTTTAAAAATATCATAAATCTCTTTAAGATCGTTAGAAACTCATAGATATATTCCTATACAAATCCCTTGATCCCTGCTGATAAATCCTGGCCATCTTGGGATCCATTGGATATTGAGGAATCGATTCCTTTAGCCGGACACTTGATCATGAATAATGCCGACAGAGATCAGACATTAGCCGTGGAGGAACCTAATAAATCGTCGCTCCTGTTGTCTATTTCCGTATTTTCCGCCGCCAGGGGAAAATCGAATATAGAAAGAGAGGGGGGAAAATGGGAAATCCATTTGATTAAAACGGTACGCCGGCCGGGAAATCCCAATCCCCGGAGCGGAGAGGGGCGGGTATTGGGTGGATGATGCGTTGGGTGGTTCGCATTAAGACATCAAATAGACAACAAAGGCAGCAGGAGGAGAAGGAGGAGGATGAGTCGGAGGCGGAGGAGGAGGAGGAGGAGGAGGAGGAGGACCTGGCGAAACCCTGACAGCAGTTCGAATCGTTAAGCTAGCCAAGTGGAAAAGGCAGCCAGAAGTTCACCACGAATCCACTTCCCCCGCATCCACCTGCCGCCGCCTGCTCTCTGGTGCTTGAAATTAGATTTCTGCCGTTGGCCAGCATTCGTTACGAGGTTTACAGCGACGCACGCTCTCCAATCTCCACTCTCTCCCTCCTCCCCACCGACTCTCCAAAACACAGTTTTGGTTACTATTTTATTACACTTAAAAACCCTTCCAAGAGTAAGCTTGAAAAAGATAGAATTAAAAACCCTTAGTAAATTTCTGTTAATTATTTTGTTTACTAATAAATGTAATAAAATATTTAAGGCTATACAAAACTCCCCAACCCTATACCCAACCTAAACAGTGAGTGATATATAGCATTAAATCCCTATTTTCTCCAAGTGTAACTGGAATATACAGCTAGATTGAGCCTGGAAAATCCTTACGTTAGCTACAGCTGATTTATGCTTGGGGCCATGCCTCTACAGCAGGCGGGGAAGGTAAAGGGGGGCCACCGACGAGGCTGCGTTTGGGGGAGTCGGGATGTTTACGAGCGGATTAAGTTTTGCCTTCGAACAAATTCCATTTGAATTTAATGAGCCCGGAGATTACATCACCGAAAGGGAAAGGGAAAGGGGAAGGGAAAGGGCAGGTGGGGAAGGGGAATAGTGAGGGGGAGAAGGAGAATGAAAGATGGGGATGCATTTTTAATTGAATGATGTCGCCACGCTGCTGCAGTCGCCAGTCTGCTCTGTGCACAATTTGACAATCCATCAAGGCGCCAATGATAGCGATGGGAAATCGGATTGATTTGTTTATAATATATCAATACTATATCGTTAAAAAGATTATGATATATGTATACAAAGATAAGCAACTTTTCCTATATAATTTTAAACATGATTCGTATATTCGATATGATAATTATATATTTAGGATAGAATAGAATATAATACTTATAATACTACGTTTACGATGTGATATTAGGCTTGATATATTTTATAAGCTATGTTTCTTAACATAATATCAAAATTGTTGAGATATCTGGTGTTGAAAGCACATCTCTTCTTTGATTTAGGAATATTTGGATATGGAGTATACCCCGCCTTCAAACCAATCCACTTAGACGAAGCATTGTCTCTAATTTATGCCGCCAGCGTTGCCGCCTTGTCCTCAATTAGTTGCAACTGTAACAGCAGCAGCAGCAGCAGCAACAACAGCAACAGCAACAGCAGCAACAGCAGCAACAGCAGCAGCAACAACAGCAGCATCAGCAATGTGCAACATGTATCGCCGGCTGTTTACCCCTGGGATGGACGGGAGGCGTGCTGTATTATCTTCATATATACATATATAGATATACATCTTTTCGGGGACGACTTCTCCACTTACAGTTTACATGACAAACCGAAAACTATTCGTCTAACATTACACGATACTTAACCGCTGCTTTATTTATGTCCCTGTCATCGCCTCTCAGCTGCCTCGGCTCCATCGTTGTCGTTTGGTGCTCCCCATTCCTCCCACCCACAGAATGCAAAATTAAATATCATTTGGGGGCCTCTTTTTTTTTTTTTTGGTTAATTGAAACCTGTTGTAAATCACAAATCATATTGACTTCCCCTCGGACACAGAGTCTGATATAGAAACTAAAACAGATATAGAAACTAAAACAGCAGCAGATGTCGCCGGTTTTTCATAATTATTTTGTTTTTGGGAGGGAGGAAAAGCGAAAAGCTTCTCTAAAACAGCTGCCAGGGAATGAGATCTATGAGAAGTTTTATTCTTTAATTTTTGGTGTGTTTGAAATCGTAGGAAATCTAGGTACTAGAAGCTTTTTGTTAAGGGGAGATAATGCTTAAAAAATAGTATTACCTTTCGCCTTTTAATATTTCTTTATAAAAATATTAAAGTCTGGCTTATCATGAATAATTTAAAATACAATTCTTAAAGTTAACTAAAAGTAATTCAGAAATAACAAGAGTTACAACTACCAAGTACCTCTTTCAAGGGTAAAAGCCACCAAGTAACTTTGTTAAGTAAAAAAACCCTTAACCCCATGAAAGCTGAGCCGGATTAACCCATGCATGCCTCTTCCAGCTCATAAACTCTGCCCTCAAACTGAATTTTAAGTTGAGTTCGTCGTCGCCTGATTACTTTATTTTCAACAACGAAGACATCAACTAATGGTGAAAATATTGCCATTGATTCTGCGACAAGTGGATTTACTTTACTATACTATACTATACTTATACCCCTGCCAATGTAGATATATCCTCTGTCCATTTCCGATTGAAGTCGAGGGTGTCGAGGGTGTCATTTGGTAATTGTTACAAGCTGCCGCATATTTGGACAGGCGGCATTCGAAAACAAACAAATGACTGCCAAGAGTCGAGTGGAAGCATCCTCCACTGCTGGCTGGGATTGGGTTTGGAACCACCCTTCAGTTACTGGTTACTGGTGGTTGTTCTTCAGCTCATTTGTAAGAGGATACAAGGACCAGACCCCAGGACCCTGGGACCCCGGCAAATGTCATTAGTTTACAGTTGTCTGATTTCCATCCTCGGGGCATGGAAATGTTGTGATCGATGATGACAGCTTCATTCGAGCATCCCGTTGAGCTTGCTTTTACATCGATAATGATGCTGATTCTGGTTCGCAGATCCAGTTCCAGGCGAAAATGGGAAGATGTGTGGAGTGGTATCTGCCATATGGCAGAAAGATCGAAAAGAGATGTCTTCAGGAATCTCTAGGAGATATCTGATGGGATATCTTGCAAAATATTTTATAGTAAAAGATCTAGACTCTAGAGAACTTGATATTTAATATCCTATATTTATATTTATTTTCTCAGTAAGATTGAGAGTCTTTAAGTCCTTTCCTAAGACTCCTTTGAGATCTATCTTTTTCTTGGAAAAACTCTCTAAATGAATCTCTAATTGTATTAGATCCACCTCCCTGCTCTTGGGCCAATTCCCAGACAACTAATTAATGTCAACCGTCTGGGAATGCCTGGTGGAACCCTCGGCATCCTGGGTATCCTCGGTTACATGAAGTAACCCCAAGGACCTGGTACTGGTTTCGTCGTAACTCAAAAAGCACTTAACCCATAAAAGTGAAATAATTCGGTGGAATAAACAAACGCACTTAACAAATTACAGATGTGAAAATTTCATTTTCAGTGTCCAATTTTCCTGCCTTCCTTCCTTCCGGGTCTTTTCCTTACCAAAGGGGGATGATTCTCTTTTTCCCCTTGTCGACAGAAATTTGGATGCGATTATACTCCCCCCCTGAAGTTGGGCTCTTTGGTCGCATTCCACAAATTAGAAAATGATTAATGGACTCAACCGGTTGCACAGCACATTCCATGTATTCCATACATTTGGATGGTGGCGCCGTCGCGGTCACATCCTCACCAGGGAGCATCCTGGCCGAGAAACAGGAGCAGGAGCAGGAGCAGGAGCAGGAGCAGCCACTGGTTCAATGCGTCTGGCACACTTCAGCATAAAATAGCACTCGAGAGAATCAAGAGGTTGAGGAGGGGGAAAACACTCAGGGAAATAGGTATTAAGTACTGGAAGGACATTGCTTATGCTATAAACTATTT